CGGGGAGGACGTCAGGAGCGCTCGCAGGACAGAACGCGTCAAACGCCACAAGCCTCGTCAGGGCAGATCTGTTCTGCGTGACGGGACGTTCCAGGCTGATAAATCGGCTCTGGAGGACGGAATACTGCCGATGACTTAAAGTTTAAATGAACGGCGCACATACTGCAGTTCCTCTGATGTGCAGCAGAGGCAGCAGTGAGTCAGTCCCCATAAACATGTTTGCAGCCTGATGCACAATAATTTGAAGTTTGCATTATTATGTTTTTTTGTGTCCCTTCATCAGGAGATCATGTGACAGCTGCAGGGAGTCACGTGATCTGAAAGTGTGTTTGCAGATATATATATTTTAAATCTGACTTTTGATAAAATGACATCGCTCCGGTTGCCAAGCTGCTCACAGCGTAGAAACGACAAAAGCAAGAGAAGCTGATTATTTGACGACATCTCATCATCTAATTAGTGGCGGCGGGACTGGGGTTTACAATGAAGACAAAGAGGAGCACGCTCAGTGCATGTTTGGACAAATTAATATGCAGCCTGGCTTCCTGTTTTTCTTTTTTTTTTAAATTGGATCCATAATGCAGCAGCGGCCGGGCCTTGAAGTGTTAATGAAGAGTATTCTGGGATGTTGGAGTGGGGCCGGCGGCTCCATTCATCTCCAGGTGATCACAAAAGGACGCCTGAGCAGCGGCTCCCGGGCGAGCCGGCCCAGGATCGGCCACTCGGCCCGTCCTGCAGCGCAGGGCGGCGTGATGCTGCTCTCAGATCAGATTTATCTCCTGGGTTATTTTAAAGCAGCGGCAGCAGCAGCTTAGTGCCTCCCTCCTCGCTCTGCCTGTCAGTGCGTCTCTCCTCTTCATCCTTGCAGGACCGCCTGATGCCTCCTCTCAGGTTGTATCGAACTGAACTCGCCTGTCGCCGTCTGCTCTTTCTCTTTAGCTTCTCGTGTTTTTGTGGCTGTGAAGAAGCTGGTTTAGTTGTGTGTTAAGCTGCTGGACCACCTCAGCTGTGTGCAGCGTTAAATCAGTGGCAGATTGCACTCGTTAGGCTCCTGTTTGCTCCAGCAGGTGTTTTTACTGCTCTGCTCTCAGGTGTATCTGCTGTTTGTCTGCTAACCGGTGCTGTACCTTCACACCAAAGTGCCCGACAGCTGAGAGCCCGGGCTGAACACTCGTTTTTTTCCACCGTAGGATCTCTGTGATGTCACAGAGAGAGGATATTCTTAAACGTGCATGTTGTGACGTAACAGGATGGATTTCTATTTAAAGCTTTGCAGGAAGGATTGGCCAAAGTTGAAAAAGTGCGCCAGAAACAGGAAACGGTCTTCGTTTCCATGGTTTCACTAATGCTCAAAGAAAACGGCGAGCGTTTGAAAACAAGTTGGCGTCTTCCAGGAATACTACGGGAACCTCTTTGTGACCCCCAGCAGCCACTGACTGACCAATCAGGGCCCAGACGGGCTCTTACTCCCCTGAGCCCGCAGCATCACGTCTAACGTGGACTGTGGTCACACGACTGCAAAACCTGACCCGACCTCTGACCTCTGCAAAGTCACGATCCTCATCTTCTCAGAGACTCGCCCCCTGCTGGACAGTGGAGCGAATGTTCGCAGGACCGAGTCACCTGCGTGACGTCACCTGTGGCGGCGGCATGCCCGTGATTACTGGTGTTCGCTCGGCGACAGACGAGGCTGCTCGCTCTGTGGTTATTCTCCTGTGCCTGTCCCACACAGGCACAGGTTTCCATTTATAGCACAGAGATTAAACTTTATTTATAAAACCTTTATCGAGATTAAACGGTTCAGATTACATCACTGAGACGTGTGCTCACGAGCAATCACAGCAACAGCTTCAAAGTGGCCCTTTCCATCCTCGGACGAGCAGAGCAGCTCTGCTTTGTTTTATGCAGCCTTTCAGGTCGACCCCGTCCCCCTTTCTTGTGATTGGCTGCCCCTCTCTGTGACATCATCGAGATGCAACAGTAGAAAGAAACTGGAAAAAAAGAGTGTTCAGAAAAACCAGCATGGCAACAAAGAAATACCAACACAAAGCCCGATGTCAGGATGTGTCCGTCCATCTTTGATATACAGTTTGTTTTGGTTATGACACGCCTCCACGGGACGTTTGACACAGACGAGCAGCTGAAGCGCGACACGTGGAGGCTCCAACCTCAGCTTCTTATCGTGCGTCAGGTTTTGGTTACTGGAAGCTGCTTTCTGTTTCTGTTGCCATTGACTGACAGCAGCAGACAGACTCGTCTATTTATAGAAACACCTCCTCACTTACCTGTTACCTGTCTGAGCGGTCAGGTGACCCGGTCGGCAGTTACACAGGTAACGTGACACCGAGGCAGCAACAGGTGATCAAATACTCGAGTACGATCTCCAACACGCGAGGGGAGACGTGGACGCGGTTACTTCAGGCTCTGCTGCAGACGGAGGGTCTCCCTGAGCGGCTGATAAAACACGTCTGCACAGCGCGTGCGTCAGAATCAGTACAAGAAACCAGTCTCCTCATTTCTATCCTCGGGTAGAACGTGACCCGGTGATGGAAACACCCTCAGGGACCAATCAGAGATAAGCCCCACCTTCATCTGAGGCTACACACCTTCTTTACCGTCTTGTGCCATGCAGCATGCAGAGCCACGCTGCACGTGTTTCAGTGACGGAGGTCTTTAAAGTCAGAGTATGGGGAGGCATAAAACTCTGCCCCCTGGTGGTGAGTGTAAAGTTTGCACAGGGTAATTACAGAAAGGAGAAAGGACGAACTGGTATGAACATTTTTATACTTTAAACCTTTTTCTGCCCTGAGGAAGCTAAAACAGCGCCCCCTGGTGGCTGTGCACCACTTACACCACCTAAAGAAACCGTTTAAACCTGTGATTTCTCGCCATGCACAGGTGTCATGAAGCCTGAGCATCAGGCTGTGAACATGTTAGACATGGCAGTCTGTGGAGGCTGACTCACTGCTGCCTCTGCTGGACGTCAGAGGACCTGCAACTTCCTGTTGTAGTGTGGCTCCTCCTCCTGATTTTAAAAGCGTGGCTTTTTAAAACCATGTAGAAAGTAAAACCTGAACGTCTGCTCTCTGCAGTAAAAGCACCGTCTGCTGACAGCGATGTCAGCGTCACGTCTAATTACCGCACTATTTGTTTACAGGGCGAGAAACCAGCAGGTAGTCGTGGCGGTAATTACTGCTGTTGTGTGTGTCACAGCGGCGATGACAGGTCCCTGTTGTCGTGCCGCTCCCTGTGGTGAAAAGCCCACACCCCCTCTCTGCCTCGTTTATAATTCATGCTGCTCTGGTCCTGGCGGGTCAGGCCGGGGGGGGTAACCCGAGCTCATCTCACACAGCCGGCACCGGGCGGTCCCATCAGAGGCCGGCGTGTGGTGTGACGCAGAACGAGGCCTAGTTTTGATTTCGATGCGTTCCGGTAAGTCAGAGAGGCGTGACCGCACGGCCCGTGAAAGCCTGCGGAGCCACTAAATGGTGCCGGGGGCAGGAAATCTGCCTCACCTGTGCACTTCCTGCTGTCACAGCAGCGTTTGTGATGAGGAGCCGGGTGGTTTCAGAAATGTTACTGATCCTATGACAGCGCACACACAGGCCTGACATCCTGAACACACACAAGTGCTGCTGTGCGTGTGGGCGGTCCTGGTTCTGCTCGCCAACGTGGGTCGTGATCCAGGACCGCCATCAGCAGCTGATCGAGGGGCTGGTCTGACAGGAGGTGGTGTTGTTGCAGATTTTATGGATTTTAGTGCGTCCTCTTCCTGTTTATCTGTTCTTGCTGTGTCTACGTCAGTGTGACCCTCTCCAGCAGCTCATCGTCCTCTGTTCTCATCATCACCGGTGAGGAAATGCAGCCCCCTGATTTCTCTGGGCTTATTTCTCCCACCTGGACTGCAGATATCGAGGCAGATAGTTTACAGATTTGAAATAAGATGATAAAAGTGGAAATTCAGCTTGGCAGGCAATTTATTTCTAAGCACTTTCAGAAAACTCCCAGCTGCCGTACACCTGACATGACAAACAGTAAGCACAAACAATCAAATCAGCACATTAGATTAAATTAAAGCAGGAAAGTCAGAGTCACACTGGGTCAAAAGCACAAGGAATAAAAATGGGTTTTAATTAGGGCTGCCACGATTACGTCGACTATCAAAATCGTTGACGACTGATTTAATAGTCGACGTGTCGTTTGAAGCTTTGTAAGATCACAAAAGACGCAGGAATAAGTAGCAGGATTTAAGAGTGTAATAACGGACTGAAACAGAAGATGGCAGCACTGCATGTACAAGGATGCCAGCTGCCGTTAAACCCCGAAGAAGAAGCAGCTGTGTCCCAGAATTCATAGCGCAGCCCAGCTCAGTTTCCAACAATGGCGGCAGCTAGTTAGTTTTAATATTACTCTTATTATTCTTTCTGGGTCACAAAATAAACGTTTAACATATTTTCAGGCGAGAATGTAGCTGTGTAAACCTCAAATATCTGCTCAGTTTATCAGGACACCACATATTTTCAAAAGCGCTCCGACGTTTTCGGAGACGTCTGTTACCCACTAGCTCGATAGCTAGCCGGGGGCTAGGTCACTAGCGCCGTGAGAACACCGGACTCCCGGCAAATCGTTTTCAAACCCACCGCCGTCTTTCACTACTCAGGTTAAACATGATATATGAGTCACTTAGATAACTTAAAAATGTTATTGTTTGGCTTTTTTCAGTATTTTATTTGTTCCTGAGTAAATCGGTTTGGCTGAGATTAAAGTTATAGTTTTTACACAGCTGAATAAACGTCAAGCAGACAGCTGATTATCAGAAGTGTGAGATGCTGGAGAATTTACTCCGGTGTCCTGTTATATTTTAGATAGCAAGGAGTTTATTAAACTTCACCGAAACAATCTGCAATTTCATTAAAATTTAATAAACTATCATCTTGTCTTTATTTTTAGTTAGCACAGACCTTAAACACTTAAAGCTGTAAGCTAATGATAGTTATATAAGAGCAGATGCTGCTGGTGCAATAAGCTGTACGTTTTATGTCCAATGGATGATGATCTGATTAGTCGACTATCAAAATAATCGTTTGTGGCAGCCCTAGTTTTAATGCATGCTTTAATAAATGGACAATGGAGGGACCTCTCTGATGTGCAGGGGCAGGTTAGCAGCTCGTCAGCTGACCTGAGAAACATGGGGAGGCAGTAAGGATGAAGGTGGGGGCAAGACCGTTTAAGCCTTTAAAAACAAACTCTAAGATATGCGGGCAGCCAGTGGAGTGAAGCCAGGATGGGAGTTATGTGCAGTCGTGCAGCAGCAGACAAGAGTATTACAGTAATCCAAACGAGATGAAGTAAAAGCATGGAGTACTGTTTCGAAATGCAGTCTGGATAAAATAGGTCTTACCTTTGCTGAGCGCCTTAAATGCTAAAAACTGGACTTGACAGAGCCCTAATTTGCAGGTCCAATTTAAAATCAGTCCACCTTAAAACCAAAGTTAGTTTCAACAAGTTTAAAATACTCTGCCAGGGGTCCCAAATCAAAAGAGGAGGGATCACAAGGTCCGCTACGACCAAAAACAATCACCTCTGTTTTGCTTGAATCAGCATAACAGTGGAAGGTTGTTCCATGCCTTCTAAGGACGGCTGCCAAAGGCTGTAAATACAATGAAAAAGTCAGAGGCCCTAGAAATGAGCCCTGTGGGACCCCAAACTGAAGATGTTGTGGTCTACATGGTCACATGTGATTGGTCAGTAGACTGGAAAGCTTCCAGAAAATCAGCGCCTGAGTTTTCATGTGCAGATGGATATTTGTGTGAATGTCGTTCATAGCCGGATGGTCCAGCAGCCGGTCTGTGCAAAGGCTTCAGGCACTGTGGCGGCTTCTAAACCACTGAACACTGGCAGGAGGCCTCAGACTCGTCCTGCAGCAGAAGCCCAAAACAGCCACACTCAGGTCGGTCGGGGTTCGATCCCCGGCTCCTGCAACACCCAACCAAAAACACTGATGAAAGTGGGAGGAAACCGTCCATCGGTCAGGATCGTCATCAACCCGGTGTTATCATAACACATCGGAACCAGGAAGATGATCACAGAAGATTCATCGGGTGAAACTTAGCCTGTTGGCTCATTAACGAGGCCGTTCCAACAGATCAGGTGAAATGTCGTTTGTGTAGGAAACATTTCAGTCGCTGCAACGCTCATCGCTGACAACCCGCCTCAGGTCTGACATGTCTGCCGCCAAACCGAAAAGCTTTCAGCAGAAAAACTTTATTAGCAAATATATAAAAGTCATGTGGCTAAAACGCAACCTGCCTGACCTGTGACCTGTGAGGGGTTATCGGGGTTCGCCGCGCGTTACCTGAGGACGCCGCGCAACGTTTGAACGTGAGCTCGTTCTCAGAAAGCATCGACTGGTGCCAGCTCATCATGTTCCAGATCAAGATGCAGAAAGCACAACCACAGCTCCGACCGAGAAATACGACACGCTGCAGTCACCCAGAGAAAACGGTGCTGGAGTGGCCACGCCCTCGGATGTTGGCCTCTCCACCCAGAGGTCTGGATGCTGCATGTGATGAAGATGAAGCTGCCTAACAGCGATGGGGGCTCCTCCTGCCCGATGAGTCTGAGCTCCACTTTGACTTTATTTGGTAAAAAACGACTCGTCTTTATTTTCCGTCACTTCCTGAAGCGTTTGCACGACCCTGCAGGCAAAGCAGCGCCTTTCCTCTCATAGACCAGACCGCTCTGCGCTTCATGCTAACTGCTCTTTACGTCCAACAGCCACCAAGAAGCCTCTCAGACGTCGGCCTCACTGCAGTGTCCATAATGGACACTTTTTTTCGCCGTCACTTTAAGAGGAAGGATGCCGCTCTGCAGGAGGACGCGTCCAAATCCTGCCGCCAGCGGAGGCCCAGCGTTGCCGTGCCCACCAGCAAAGCTCGCCGAAGGTCCACAGTCGGGCTGCCTTCCTCCGCTCTAGCCCAGCGGCGTCGCTCCAGCGTCCAGCCGCCGTCAGGGTCGCTGTGTGCTGGTGGGGGGCGTCTGGCAAAGACAGACTCCGGCAGCAGGTGGGCGGGGCACGGTCGCAGGCGCTCAAGCACTACCACGCCCAACCTCAACCCGAGGTTTGCCGTTTGCCGGAGAAAGGTGGGGAAGCTGCGGACGATCGACACCCACCTGCTGGGGCCGTCCATGCTGCTCGCCAGCCTGATCCAGATGGCTGAGGAAGACGAGGAGGAAGAGGGTGTGGGGGCGGGACGGCTGGCTGAAGAACAGCAGGTGGAGGTGATCAGCGGCGTCAACAACAGGAGGAGATTTTCACGAGCCAGCAGCCTCCTCTCAGATGGCGACGACAACAGCAGCCGTTTCTCCACCACTGACGACAGCCAATCAGAAACCAGCCAGCTGTCAGAGGCGGAGCAGTTGGCTGAGGAGGAGGAGAACACCTGCTCCCCTGATCCCCACTTCTCCCGAGCCTCTAGCCCGTCCGTGTCCTCCACTGCCACACTGGAGTTGATGAAAAAGACTCCCCCGCTGCCGTCGCCGTCCCGCCCGCTGATCCGGGCGCCGCGCTGCCTCCGGAGGAATTCCTCTCAGGTGTTTACGGTAGACTCCTTCCCCTACGGCTGCTGCCGCACCTCCAGCCAAAGGAAGAGGAGAAGGATCTCCACCATCTCCAAAGCTGGGAGCCCCTGGCCTGGGAGAGGCCCGCCGTTGCCCAGCCGCAAGACCTCGGTGTACTACCTCAACCACCCGGGCTTCTACCGGGGCGCCGGCGCACTGAGCCCGCTGGGGCCTCGGGGCCATGACTCCTGCCTGGAGAGCTGGAGCGCCTTCCTGCTGTACGTAACCCGGCTCAGCAGAGCGAGAAGCTTCCTGTCTGACGGGTGCCGTGGATAACCGCAATAAATATCAAATACACAGTAACACATTTTAGAAAAAACAATAACAAATAATAAAATACACAAAAACTGAGCTGCTGTAATGTAAAACTTCTGTTAGCAAAGAACGACACTGACACTGGGTGCACTCACAGGGGGTTAGGGTTAGCTGTGTGAGTGTGTGTGAGTGTGTGTGTGAGTGTGTGTGTGTGAACAGACACACACAGAACAGACACACAGAACAGCCCACAACACACACACACATCAACACACACAACCCACACAACACACACACACACACACACACACTCACACACACACACACAGCACACAGACACACCACAGACACACACACACACACACACACAGACACAACACACACACACACACAGACACAGCCCACACACAGACACACACACAACACAGACACACACACACACACACACAACACACACACTAGACACAGACACAACACACAGCAACACACACACACACACAGACACACACACACAGCAAACACACACAGACACAACAACACACACACACAACACACTCACAACCTCACACAGCGCACACCACACACTTCTCCCAAGATGATTCTACTCACCGCACTAGTAACAACAAACGTATTAGAAATAAGACCCACAGCGATATTGTTTGATGAACACAACCACACACACCAATCTCACTTACATCATCGAGTGCTCAGACAACTATGTACATACACTCCTGATAACCAACCACACGGCAACAAGCACATCTAGATTTACAACGAGCTTCAAGCATCCACAACACCAGCTTTTTCTCTGACACACGGTTCCGGCACGCTTAACCAGCCCACCATGATAGGGACAGTTGCGATCGGCAAAGGAGCCAGCTGACACACACAGGACGAACAACCCCTACGAGCTACCAAGCACACCAGCCAATCTCTTCCTTATTCTTAATACTCTTGTTCTAAGTGCTACAACAGGGCTAACCCTTATAAACGCACTCTAAAGTCGTGAGGAGGGGTCGCACGCCTCGATCGCTGAAGGCGGTGCTATGTACTTATTTTTGGCTTATTGCAGCCAAACCCATCACGTGAATCTCAACGTCACTTCCCTAAAGTTTATTAAACACGGTCCAACACATGATCTACGACCAGAGCTCGCAAGTATGGTTGCGTGATCATAGTGTATTCCTCCAGGTTATCATGTCCTACTCTCCTACAAATGAGAAAAGTGAGGCATTTGAGTGTAATTAATATTGTTCATGATAGCAGAGAAGCCTCATCTGTCTAAATACTCACATACCTTCAGAAGCAACCCTGTATATCAGAGGCGAGGGAAGTGTATGTGCGAGCGCAACAGCACTTGCAAAAAGACCTGCACAGTTGAACCCAGATTACCCCGGGAGTGGTCGTCCAGAAACAGTGAACAGCCATGAACAAGGCGGGCTCCAAGGTCGCAATCCAAGAGCGTAGGGGCAAGTAGTCTCATACAGGTCGCTCCTCCTGTGAGAATAATACCGTCAGGGCCCAGAAGCGCTTGGGCTAGGCATCTTTCCTAGTTGCGCCAGACGGATCCCCTCCAAATGAGCTAGAGGGAGTAAGACAAACTGGGTCTGCTTTAATGATATGAGCCACCTCATCAGAGAGGTGTGCTTTAAGTAAACACCAGATATTACGTACTTTTAGCTGGGTGTGATAAAAGCAAATCTTGATTACTGAAACGGCAGGCCCTTACGTACCCCCCTACGAAATACCCAGATATTCCTGTTAGATGGTGGAGTGCCTTAGCTCCCAGATGCCTTGTGTGCCGGACTCGGGCCGCACTCGATTTCACTCTTTACCGTCCATTAAAGTGCGAGGAAAGAGGATGACCCAGATTAGCCAGCATTGAATCAGTGGGTTGAATATTTAACACCATTTGACAGAATTTGTTTACAAGCATCTGTGTTGGTTACAAAAGAAAAACAAAAAAATTAAGGTAATTCAAATCTTTAAAGACACCAGTTTTATTGCACATCTATGCAGACAGTGCTTTGAAATGGCAATTTGTGTGTATATTGGATGTTGTCTTTGTCTTCTGAGAAGTCTGCCACAGCTATTGTTCCTCTTCAAGTATGTCCAGCCGCCGGGGGCCATACAGTAGAACATACGCTATATGCCAGTCTCCGCCACCTGACAGTCGCAGGATATCCTCTGGAGACACCACACTCACCTTGTCATCGTCAAACTTGACCCACTCATCTGTCAGAACGACACCAGAAGACACGACACATGAAGCGCTTGCACAGTATAAATTGACTGACTGATGTCAGGTGCGTGCCGATTACTGTCACACAAATGCGATTACCTTCTTTCCTTTTGACCGCCGCTTGGCATCGAGTTATAAAAGATGAAAACGGGATTGCTGTTGTCGCTTCGATTCGAAATACTGCTAGAACTGAGTCAGAGGGCTGCTGGCTCGAGTGGGAAAATCTCCTCCTTGTTGTGCTTGAAACCCGCCCGGTTGATACCTACCTCAACCCTCTGCTTGACTTCAGTCGCTACACAACGTCCACCTGGCCATGCGCATCCTACACCTAACCCATTCCTCTTCTCTTCCTCTCCTCTGTTGTTGACGCCGCTGATCACCTCCCTGCTGTTCTTCAGCCAGCCGTCCCGCCCCCACACCCTCTTCCTCCTCGTCTTCCTCAGCCATCTGGATCAGGCTGGCGAGCAGCATGGACGGCCCCAGCAGGTGGGTGTCGATCGTCCGCAGCTTCCCCACCTTTCTCCGGCAAACGGCAAACCTCGGGTTGAGGTTGGGCGTGGTAGTGCTTGAGCGCCTGCGACCGTGCCCCGCCCACCTGCTGCCGGAGTCTGTCTTTGCCAGACGCCCCCCACCAGCACACAGCGACCCTGACGGCGGCTGGACGCTGGAGCGACGCCGCTGGGCTAGAGCGGAGGAAGGCAGCCCGACTGTGGACCTTCGGCGAGCTTTGCTGGTGGGCACGGCAACGCTGGGCCTCCGCTGGCGGCAGGATTTGGACGCGTCCTCCTGCAGAGCGGCATCCTTCCTCTTAAAGTGACGGCGAAAAAAAGTGTCCATTATGGACACTGCAGTGAGGCCGACGTCTGAGAGGCTTCTTGTGACGTGGGCTGGTGCGGTACAGCACAGTCTCTTGACTGCGTCGGTGAGCTCAGACCACTGATGTAGGCCAAACCAGAAGGATATTCTACCAACGAGAAGAAGAGAAGGCATTGTGCCGAGTAGACACTATCCTAATATAGAAAGATAGAGAAGACAAAACCCAGAAAAGAATACCGACACTATGATGTAAAAATCAGAACGCGCCCAGTGAGATACTGTCATTACACTCCCTTAAGGAGTCAATGTTCATGACGCCAGACCAAATCCTTACTAAAACTAATAAGCGCAAGTGCGTACTTGTCCGTGGGAAAGCAAGAGAAAAGAACTGCAACAATATCGTGATCTAGTACAAGTGAGGTTTACGATGTTCTTACTGAGAGGATACGTTGGGGTGAGCAAAATCTAGGGCAGTTTAAAAGCAGTTGTCTGAGGCATCAGTGTGCGACCGACCAGACACAAGCTTGACGGATGACTTAGTTTCTATGATTATAAGGAGGTCCGATGCTGGACCCATCGCTTAGGTAGTTCTTCCTGGATCAGCCAACTTGAACCCGCTTCTAGATAATAGGTGAGCAGGAAAAATTAAAAAGACGCGTCGTCGATTTCTTTAACATTGATAAGTCTAACAGTTGTAGCTAACCAAGAAGCTGAATCGGTCGTTCTCCCCAGGAGGGAGATGAGCCCTCTTCTCCAGCCGCTGTTTTCTGTCCCGAAAGGCTCAACATTGTCTTTCCATTCACCCATCGCACCTATGCATGCCCCATGTCCTTCTGAGGTCTGTGGCCCACAATACGTTGCTCTTTTGTTTTCGATTGAACGGTCGGTCCGTGTTGTCCCAATTCCCTTATAATATGATTCTCGGTGTGACCATTTCTGTCAGGGCCAGTTCATAATTTTCATTCAGGTCGGTGGATTGTCCAGTGGGTGTGTTGCTCTTTTGTGACACTGCTCGTGAAAATCGAGGATCGTGGTGAGCTCGGGGCACCTAGGTCGCGAATGCTTCTCTAATGGAGCGAAAATGACCGGAAATAGGCTCAACTATGCAGAAGAACGCGTGGTTGCGGCCTTTGGAGCCCGTACCATCCAACTGATATAATGATTAACGCGCCCTCCATTCAAAATTGACCTTCTTTAAAAAGCCCCCTCATCTTGGTCACCCCAGTCCAAGGCAGGTATGGAGGCCTGATATTGTGCCAACCATGACATATTTTTATATAAAATTCTGCTAGATAACGTCATTGATATTTCTTAGACCCTCTGCAGATTTTCCTTTTTATTCAAAGAATTAGGACTGGCAGCAATGAGTTTTGACTGCGACAGGGGAAGTCTCAGGCTTAAAGGGCTCTATGGCTCGAAACGCAGGGCAACAACCGCCAAAACCAAGCTAAAACAGCAAACGAATAAGAGCAGTTAAATGTGTCTGCCAAAAACAGAGTGCTTTAACACAGAGCACGGATCCACCCCGGATGGCAACGTTAGTATGCGGTTCCGACATCGCTGCCCCGGGTGTGAACCCTTGAATGTTTTACACCTAAGCACGGAAACGTCTGTAAACCACTTCACTGAATCTGTTGGAACCTCCTTCTTGAAGCGGCCCTTGCTATGAAAGTGAATTCGGTCCCAATTGACAATCTCGGACGTGCAAGCGCTCCAACCAACCCTGTCACATGAAAGTCTACAACTCGAATCATCTTACCGCCTGTTATGCCCGATATGAAATGTTAATTAGGAAACAACCGCGAGAATTACTGTACCAACTTGACTTACGTTTAGGAACCTATTAGACCCACCGGTCCAAAGTGAGCAGATATTTCCTCCTCCTTAAGGTTTCTTATCTTTGTTGGCTGCACTCTCTGTGCTGGTGTTGGCCCAGTGCCAAAAGCCCCGACAAGTGGAAGATAATCGAAATACAAATTTTCTTATAAAAGAAGCCACACTTCCTGTACAGTTCTTTTCTCAGGAAAGACCAGTTACCATAAAAACAATCTAGTTCCTTCTGCCATTACTAGGTGTTGCCATTGCCCTCGAAACTCTAGTGTGAAGTGTTAGTATTTGTGGGCTCTGACTTGCTTCCAAGGCAACAGATGTGCTTGTAAAGGCCTACACAAGGTTCAAGTTAGGTTAAGAAACTTCTTCCGCCCTCGCAGGTGGCCTTTAAAGTCTTTTGTTCACGACCGGCTTGCTAAACCCAAATCACGAGACCAAATCAAAAAAAAAAAAAAAATAGAAGGCCTACATATCAAAACACAACCCAAATATACCAATGCACCATGAAAAGTACAGGGCAGGCTGAAATTTTTACTGGAAATTTACGTAGCTGCTTTTTCAAGACATCTATGACTGACCCCCAGATCAAGAAATTGTGATAACACCACATCGTTGAACTCCTCCCAAAAATCATTCATGTTTGTGTGGCCCAATTGCGTTCACACCATCGGCTCAATCTCAGGGCCCTTGCCTGACTTTTTTTCATGCAGTAGCTTTTATGCCCTGTGTCCCCTTTTGGAACAGCTCAAGTATCCAAGAACGCATGCGGGATCTACAGATCACTATCCAACTGTTATTGCCTCTTCAAGCGGTGAAACCAGTATGTCGAATTGCTTTCTTGGATGCCAGCACGTAGCGGATCACGCTTAGTGATCACTCTCCTCTTGTTTATTTCAGGATCACTCCCGTGGTGTCCGACGAAGTATTCTTAAAACTGTTCTTGACAAAATGTCTTAATCTCTGGTTCTAATGGTGTACCTGAGATTTTTAAATTGGATCCCTGTCTGAAAAAATCTTGGGATCATGGTCCAAGCGGTCCAGTTTTGCTTGTGACAGCAGACTCACAAGCTCAAAATGGTGAATCCTTTAATGTTTATCCTAGACTGTGACATAAAATCTTTCGAAAAGCACTGTACACTCCCATGCTTATAGAATAAAATCATCCTAGCGGTTTGGCCATTACTGCTAAAGGTAAACTACTTGATGCTTTGCTTTCTGCTTCCAACCGACTGCACATAAACTCCCATCCTGGCTTCAACCCACTTGGGGCTCTGCCCCGGCTATGACCTTTTTTATGTGTTTTTTGTTTTATATAAAGGGCCCCTTTAAAAACCGTTTTTTTCATTCATTAGCGGGGTCCCTCGACACCCCACAAAGGTCCTACATCCTGCCTTTACCCTGCCTCCGCATCTTTTCATCACAAGGGTTCCAATCGTGCCTTACGAAGGCTGAGTAACCTGCCCCTGCTCAGACTAGCTCCAGTCCTCAAGAGCGATTTCGATAGATAGTACGCTATTTTCCCATTGTCCCGTCCTCTATAGCCAAATGCATTAAACTAAAGGGCCCGAGCCCAACCGAACTACATGCATTATTTCGATAGAGGACTCGCACTAATCTATGATCACATCAGTTCCCCAACGTATGGACTATAGAAATACCGGTGACTAGGCTTTTATCCATGACCCGACCAGCAGCATTTGCCTCTTAATATAAATACCCCATTCTAAGGCTTTCATGCCCTTTGAATACATGGCTAGTTATTGTCCACAGTTTGCCCTCAATTTGTTTTTTTAAAGTGGACAAAGTACCCTCTAACGGTAAAAGCAAAGATAATATACAGTATTATTATAAAATTCTTATACCATGTGATTCAAAACAGTAGTCGATGGTAATCTTCTGGATTATGGTGTTTTAAATTGCAAGCCCACCTTCCAATGTGACCATAATTCCTCTTAATAATAAAGCTTATAATGAATTGACTCAGGAAAAGGTGAGAACTGGAGTAATACTATCATCTACCACTAGAATGATCGTAACAAGGTCTACTGCACAATATTTCATGCCTGTATTGCTGTCGTAATGATTCTATTGAGAGTACAGCTGCTGATCACTACCCAAGAAAGCTCTAGAGAGAGTAGATATTAAAAAGTAATATAACATCCCTTTACTGAATAGTCCTTCTTTCTCATAAATGAGTAAATCTGATTGAAAAAGCAGCCATATACTGTCCAGTTATAAAGGAAAGACCAATATACAGAAAAAGTCACTGGAAAAAACATGGCGCCTAGACTACAAACCAAATCTTAACGTTATTCCTATGAAACACTCGCGACGGAATTAAAGTCATGGTTACTAGCTCGGAGAGCGTGTGTGGCGTGAGAGGCAGGGTGAGAGATATTGTAGTGCACAGATAATTAAAAACATTTTTTTCCCCCCATCTACTTCCAAACACCCTTTCTAGTAACTATACTATAAGTAAATCGTAATTGTATTGCTACCTCACTGTAAAACGTTCCTGCACTACAATAGTGTTCAGTTCAAGGTAATACAGTGAACCCAATAACTACGAGAACGAGAAATTGGTCGTCCGAGGAGTCGGTGATTTCCTTCACCTATCTTTGCCTGCTTCTGCCTTCTTTATCAACCTATTATTTACCTTATTGCTCTCACCGGCTAGCTAATTCTTATGCTGTGTGTTGTCGGTAAATATGAAAGAAGTCTACAAACTACAACCGATACGTGTCTATGCTTTAAAAAGTTATTCCACTGCCGCCTTTTTGAAAATATGTGTTTTTCCTCGATGAAACTTCGAGCCAGAATAATTGAGGTTTACACCCAGCTACATTCCCTCCCCCATGAATAATATCTGGTCTTAAACGTTTATTCTGTACCCAAGAAAAAGGAATGAATAAAGAAGTAAACTTCTTT